ACGAAAAAAGGTTAGCGACAACAATGTAACAACTGTTGACGCTAACACCTTCACCGTTTGGGCAAAAATAAGAACTTTCGAATCTCCTGCCTGCACCTGAGTGTCGGCTAGAACGAAAGTAAAATTACTTACACCCAAAGATGAGGTTAAAGAAGAGAAAAAGAGCAAAAGAAAACAACACGGGACAAAGCAAAAAAAAATAATAATAAGGTTTATATAGTTTGACCTTTATCTTGCGGAAACGTAATCTTTCAAGCTCTCCTGCCTGCAAATTATGTCGGCATGGACATGAAACACTTTAACCGGAAGAAAAGGTAGGGAAGGAGGATGTATAAATGAAGATAATGTATAGAATAAACAGAGAGAGAGAAAAAAATTTTTTCAAATTATGATCTTTTGTCTTTTGAAAAAAAGTGAACAGTTAAATTCTCCTGCCCGCAAATTGTGTCGGCCTGGACTTGCTCCACTTTAATCAAAGGACAAAATGAAGGAATATATCAGAGAAGATACCACATTATAAGAAGAACTACATATACTCCCACACTAGAATAGCAAAAAACAAAAGAAAAGATACTGTCTTCATATTAATTTTTAATAATAGGATTATTGGAAAAAGGCATCTTGAGGTAGAGTTGCTTCTGCTATTTGAAGGTCGACCGAGTTATTAAACTGAATACGAAGAGTTTTTCGATAAATAGAGGGTATTTTAGCGAATTTGATTTTTTGATCATGTAAATATATTTTGATCGATTTTAAAGACCATGACGATTCAATGGGACGAGTTAAAAAATATTGTTGTTGTTTGAGGAAAAGCTTGATATGTCGTCGTTTGTTACGACGAGCTTTTGCTTCTCTTGATCGACCCATAGGTTTAACAGGTAATACGATTACTATGGATGTTAAATATTGAAAATAATCAACAATAGAGTTTTGTACGAGAGTAGAGTATTTGAAATCAAGATGCATTCGATCAACCCCTATATGATAATCCATAACATGAAAATCGACTACTGTGAAATTTAGAGTAATAGATAAATCAAATAATAAATTGTTATATTGAGTAATATTATCTAATAAAGAATGATATGTATTAAGGGGATAGAATGGTTTAAAACAAGGAAAACAGGGTACGATATTGATACTGTGTTTATCCAACAAATGAGTATAGTGTGAACGTAGAAAATTGATGACAGTGATGATTTGGATAATAATTGTTGAAGCTGAAATACAGCGAATCGAATTAGTTCCTACTAGTAACATTATAGCTTTTGCTGATGAAAGATATGAATCAAAAATGGTTGTGGATAATAAAGCTAAAACTGATAATTTAGAGTTATACTTATCTATCCATTTCAGGCCAGAAATGGCTTTGACTATTATTGAATAAGATGATGTGGTAATGGTCGGTGTAACATATTTACCATGACTATCTGTGAGGATAAAGTACATAGGTGTAGCTGGAGATAATTGAGAAGTGGCCATTTTAATTTTTTAATTTTTAATTTTTTTTTTTTTGAATGGAATAAAGTACTTGGAATGGAAAGTAAAAAACAATAGACCTAAATGTAAGATAGTTATACTCTAAGTTGTTCATTTTTCCAAAAAAGGAACTATGAGAGGAAAACTGACAGTGACCTATAATCAAATTAAGTAGCGGGAAAAAAAAACAAGGTGAAAGATTGAATATAGATTATGAAAGGTGAATAATGTGGAGAGAAAAGGATATGTGATTGATAACAAAGAGGAAGATAGATGAGTCTCGCACGCTCTGTAAAGACTCCTGCCATCCAAGCAAATTGGAGGCGGTGACGAGAATCCGCTAAAGGTAGGAGTATTGATGAAGGGAACTCACTAAACCTAGTTAATAATAGGTTTATAAGATGAGGAAATAAAGAAGACGAATAAAGTCAGAGTATATTCAAATAATTAATCAATCATTCGATCTAATTCATTTTTTTTTTTTTTGAATATCGTATCAATGCTTTTGCTATAATTGAAAAAAAAATATATTGAAAGAGATGATTAATTGACAATTATGTGTCGTAAGTCACTGACATGAACTCGTGATTCTATGTTTGTTTGTTCATCGCGAACAATGTAAATTGGATGATGTGTGTGAATGATGACTTTTGGGGTTAGAGAAAATATAGGATCAAGTTTTCCTTTTACACCATGAACTCGTGTGAGAACTCTATCACCGATATTATAAAAGGGATCTTTACGATTTCGATCATAATATGCTTTATTTCGAGCTTGCTGTTGTATTATATTGAATCTGGTTGACTGATGATAAATTTTTAATGTCTTTTTTAGCTGTTCGAAGTAGTCATTTGGTTGTCGAAAAGAAAAATGAGATGGTTTTGAATAAAAAGGAAGACGAGGAGGGCGTCCATACAGTAACTCATAGGGTGAATATTTAGTTGTTTTATGAACTCCAGAATTATAAGCAAAGACAACTGCTTGTAAGTATTCATCCCAGTTGTTACTTTCGGAATCGTGCAATTTAGAAATTTGAGAAATAAATGTACTGTTAAATCTTTCAACGATTCCATTGGTCTGTGGATGGTAGGCAGTGCTAAAGATATGATTATATCCAATTAACAAGTGCATATTAGACATTAATTGGTTACGAAAATGAGATCCTTGATCACTGATAATTAAGCAAGGAACACCAAATCTACAAAAATATTCGTTGAATATGGCTTCAGCAGTTTTTTCCGCCGAACAATTAGGTAAGGGAATAGCTACGACATGTCGAGTAAAATAGTCAGTTATTATTAACACATAACGATTTTCTCGTGGTGATCTTTTAAGAGGACCACAATAATCTATGCCGATGACTTGAAAAGGACCTTCCGGAGGTGCAATTGAACGAAGTCGTCCAGGTTTTTTCTGGCGACTGACATTATATTGTTGACATAAAAGGCAAGACTTTATATACTGTTTGATAGAATATTTCATATTAGGCCACCAATAATGTTTTCTCAACTTACTATACGTACGATCAATTGAAAAGTGTCCTCCCGACATAGGATCATCATGACAGGCTTGAAGAAGGGTGGTAACCATGGATCTTGGGAGAAAAATTACTTCAATTTTTGTTTTTGATAATCGAGAGGGAATGATTAATTTATAAAGAATGTCATTCTTTATAATAAATGACGTATTCGGTAGATTTGCGCGTAATTGTGTTATGTATTTCTGTACTAGTGGATCTTTCTGTTGTTCACCTTTCAACTTCATAATGTCAAAATTATTAGTGGAAAAGGTGGAAGTAATGTGAGTATTTACTAATTGATCTTGTGTATTAGGATGAGATGTAAGATTCTGATTAAATATATTCTTATCGTCATCGGATAGAGAAGACTTTTCCCACACATCTTTATTGTTACGTGGTCGCAAGACCATACTAGCAATAAGAGTATTTGTGGGAGATGTTATTGGTATAGATTCCTTTTTACTGTTAAGTCCATATTCAATGTCAAATAGGTCATCATTTGGTTCATGGGGATATCGAGATAAATAGTCAGGTAAACAATTTCGATGACCATTAATGTGAACTACTTTATCAATATTATACTCTTGGATTAACGTTGCAATTCGGTCTACTCTTACATTATTAACTGTTTTAGTCATTATATGACATAATGGACAATGGTCAGTCATTATCGTAATTTGTCGGCCTAACAGTAATGGTCTCATACGAACAAAACATTTATATATGGCGAGTGCTTCTTTTTCTATGGTACTATACTTTCTTTCACAAGATGTTAATAATTGAGAATGATAATACAAATTATGTAAATGTCCATCGACTTCTTGTTGTAGAACTCCTCCTATACCAATTCCACTAGCATCTGTTGTCAGAATTAAAGGTTTATCAGGTATGGGATAATGTAGAAAAAGTGGTGTAGATGTTAACATTTGTTTAAGTTGTTTAAATGCTTGCGCCTGTGCATATTTCCAATGGAATTTATGACGATTATTTTTAGTGAGATTTGTTACAGCGTGTATGGGTGCAGCAATTGTGGCGAAATTAGGCAAAAACTTGCGGTACCAACTGAGAGCCCCAAGAAACTTATTGGCTTGAGATAAAAGACGTGGTTCCTTAATATCAAGTATAGCTTGTATTTTGTCTTTCATAGGGGTAATTATCTTCTCACTAATTGTATGACCCAGATAATTTATCTGTGATACTAGTAACTCACATTTGGGTGGATTTAAAACAAAATTTCGGTTACTTAAAGCTATAAATACTTGGGTTAAGTGTGAGATATGTTCATTATATGTCCTGGAAAACACAATAATGTCATCGAGATAAACGAGAGCAAATTGACGACAGGAAACTAATGAATTAGTCATAACCTTCTGAAAGGTAGGTGGGGAATTTTTAAGTCCCATTGGAAGAACATTAAATTGATAAAGACCGAATGGAGTAGTAAAGGCAGTTTTTTCTTTATCAGCTTCTCTGATAGGAATTTGATAGAATCCAGATTTAAGATCCAATTTAGAAAAATATCTATAACCTTCTCCTAGCTTTCTTATAGTGTCTTCCATGTTCGGTAAAGGTGACGAATCTTTAATGGTGATTAGATTTAACTTCTTATAGTCAACTACAAAACGATATGTACCGTCATGTTTTTTAACTAGGAACGCCGGTGCCGCATATGGAGAATGAGATTCGGTTACGAGTTCGGCTTTTAGATATTCTTGTATCATATTATACATTATCTCGACTGTATCAGGTTGTGGGTACGGTTTACAAGCAGGTGGTGAATGTGGAACAGTGTTAATGACATGATGGATGGGTGTATTAGCTGTATTATGTTTTGTAGTATCAAATATTTTATGAAAACGAAAAAGAAGTTTAAGAAGATCATCTCGATGTTGTTTTATGTTTATTTTACTAATTAATTGATAAATATCTCGTTCAGTTGAGGGATGTATTTTGTCAATTGTAGCACAATACAGACGATCTTGAGTGTGATTGTCCGTATTCGTATTAGTAGCGGAAGCATGAAAATCTGGTAATTCACCAAATTCATTGGTGACACCACATGACTTATGGAAATGGTTAGCACTGTTTGTATTAGATTGAGTAATAGAATAGTGACATAGATATCCAATACGAGTTCCTTGAGGAACGACATGTGATCGATGTGAAGTATTAGAAAAGGTGACATGAGTTAAATGATTACAAAATTGAAGAAATTTATGTGAAACAAATGCAGTATTACATAAAGAAAATGGATAATGAGGGATGAATTGTGAACAAATAGATGAAATAGGAATAGATACTTTAGCAGAACGATCTGATTGAGCAGGAATACATAATGGATCTAATAGAGTAACTGGAATAAATTCAGTTTGTACATTCTGATTGATATTCATTTGGTATAGACGGTTGTTCAAGTCAATGGAAATTATTCGTTTACGAAGATTAAATTTAAGATTATATAGAGTTATGTAGTCCATTCCTAATATTACATCAGTACAGAGATCTTGAGCTACATGAGCAGATATGTTGGTTATTTGATTAGAAAATAATATTTGTAATTCGACTACTCCTAGGACATGAAATGGAGCTATTCCATCGGCAAGAACAAAAGAAGAGGAATGTTTATTTATACGTGTGGCTTGTTTAATAGAATGTAATGTTTTATAATTGATAAAAGTATTGGTGGCTCCGGTATCGATCAATATTTGCATATTATGATTGTTAACTAGAGTATTTATAAAGATTAAAGATAGATCTGATGGGTTTCTTTTTAATTTTCCGGAGTCAGCACCATCTTGCGATGGCCCCGGTACTAGAAACGTGGACAAGCAGATGCCTGATGTCCCGTCTGTTGACATTGAGTACAGATGTCAGAATTTGACAATAACGGTGTAGGTTGAGAAGATGATGGAATATGGGTGTCGATGATGTTATTAACTTGATGTGTTTGATTATTAGTTCGATTAGTATTACTGGTATTATTATTATGTTGATATGATGATTTAGTTTGATTTTTTGATGAAATCGGACTAAAATTATAGTTTGTACGTTGAATGTTAGAATGGAATTGTTGTTTAGATTTTGTTGGTTGATCAGATAAATATAATGAATTGTTTCGTCGAAAAGACGAATTAAAAGAATTAAATGATCGAGATGAATCTAATAATTGAGAAGGACGAGAATTATTATCATTACTTCGATTGTTGTAATATTTATTACTATTATAGTAATTATTATTATTCATTTTTCGGTTATAGGTGGGAAAAGAAGTGGCATCAATATGTGGGTTTGATGCATTTGTTCGTGTTAATGTTACATTTGATGTTATTTGATTATTTGAATTAGTATTATTATGGTCATATCTCTCAACTTCAGTTTCAAGATTAGACAATTGAAGGAGTTCCTCTGATTCTTTTGCATATTCAAGGAATTGTTTAATTGTTGTTGGTTTTCTCTTTCTTACTTCGTATTGAAGTGTAGGTTTGGCCTTTTTGAGAAGATGACGAAGTTTCATTGATTCACTCATATCGGGATCGGTTTCAGTACATAACTTTAACACTTCGTTATAGAAACTTCTCACTGGTTGGTTGACCCCTTGTGTGTAAGATTCGAGCTTTTTAAAAGCTAGTTCATCATGGAAGGGGGAAAGAAACGCTTCCTTCAACTCTTTTACCAATACTGGCCACGATGTTAATGTAGCTTTGGTATTCTTGTACCACCGACGAGCTTCTCCTCGTAAGGAATATGGAATCAAATCTAATTTTTGACTATCGGAAATTTGTGCAGTATCGATAAGTTGCTCAATGTCCTCTAGCCATTGCTTTACATCTTCTTTTCCTCCTTGAAATGTTTTAGGATTTTTAATTAGATTATCTATAATTACTTTATGAATTACATATGTTGTCTGATCAAGGTTAGAAGTATTGTGAAATATGTTAGAAGAAGGTGTGATGGTTGATCGATTTTCGGGTTCATCACCAGATAGTCTGGTGGCTCCAATATCAACCATAGCAGTTGATCTTAAGATAGGACGTGGTGGCAAATTATCAGTTAAATCAAAATTATTCGTGGTATTTTTTTGTTGATCATCGAACGATATATTTTTATGTGTTAATGGATTATGTGTAAAATTATTTTGATTTGATGAATACGATGGATTATGTTGAAAATGACGTGTGTTAGGTTCAATTACATCATAGTTAATCAAAAAAAATTCATAGAAGTCGTCGTATGATTTTATACTATTTCTGTTTCGAATATATCTTCTTTTAGCATCTCCTTCAATAAGTAATGGTATAGCTAAATAACGAAGCTTACGTGAAATCTTATGTAAATTAAATTTTTTATCGGTGTTGTCTAACCAATCGATTACATTCTCTGATCCAGAAAACGCGCTAAAATTATTAAAGATAAATGAATCAAATCCCTCTTCACCCTCATTATCACCATTATCCGATTCAAGGTCAGATGCCTTTGTTGCAACAACTGATTTTGGCTGATGGGAAAGAGGTACAATAGATTGTCGACGCTTTTTGTCGATCATAAGATTGTCGAAATTTGGATCACCTTCAGTTAATTCATTTAAGGACTCCTCATCAATCGCTTCTCGACGTGTTGGCTCCATTGTCGATTCAGAATCAGACATTTTTATAAATTTATTTTAATAGGAGATGATGAGATATATGAATTATTCGAGATATTCAACAAGGACGTCTTAAATTACTCGTATTTAACAAATTAGTCACGTGATAGTGAAAATACCCAAAAGATCGTGATAGTAAAATTACCCAAAAGATCGGTATAGCCTAATTCAATTAATGATGCACGCTGTTAAATTAATTGAATACAACGGAAAAAAAAAATTTTTAGATTATATAGATAGGTTTATAGGCGCATAGTTAATGGAGCCAATATAGACCAAATAAAGATGTGCCCAACTTCTCCACCAAAAATGTTAGCTTTCTATTTATCCAAGATCTCCTACCCACTAAATGTTAAT